CCCCCCCCCCCCCGAGTCCCGCTGACCACAGCCCCCATCAGAAATGCAGGTGGTTTAACTGCAGCCCCCACCCCAAACCTGCCAGCCATGCCCGGGACAGGCACACCTTGCCTCTGCGCTGCCCGTCCCTGACCACGGACCGTGAAAAACCATCTGTCCGAACCAGACACCCCGTCCCAGGGTGGATCAGGGGTAAGAAGAGATCCACGACACGTTGAGTCCTGGCTCTGATGGCAGCAGTACCACTCTATGGGGTGGTTGCTTGTCTGGACCAGGCAAGTCCCCTCTTAGACAGGAAAGCTCCTCCTGCAGAGATTTCTCCTCTGCTAAGAAATTAGCCCACAGAGAGCTGTAAAGGCTCCACACTCCGGCTGCCAAGCAGGGGTTGAGATGTATGTCCAGGAGGGCAGGATTTGTGCTCGGCCAGATGCCAAGGCAAGTAGGGATGCCCAAGCAAAGCCCTCCTTCCCCACTCCCCCCAGCAAGAACAAACCCCAGGAGAGGTTGGGAGGCTGTTTCTCAGATGCGGATACCCAAAGTGACAGGGCCAGTAGCATGGCCTGGCCCCCAAGGCAGCAGGCATCTCACCCTGCTGGGGCTTTGGCTGTGCTTGGCAGCTCCATGGAGGAAATTGCTGAGGGAACAGGCACCTGATCCGTGTGGTTTCTTGTCTCTGCAGGCACCATCCAAGGACACTTGTGGAGGCCATCAGCTGCTTACAGGAGCTGAACGTATCCTAAGGTGCCTTCAAGCAGAGGGAGCAACACAGGCAGCGTGCCCGGGAGCCAACATGGAGCAGAAGATCAGCTCTTTCTTTAATTCTATCTTGGAGCTCATCCGTACCAAGCATGAGGAAGGCATCTTCAACACCGTCTGCTTGGCTGTGCTGATGGGCTTGCCCTTCGTTGTCCTCATTGTGTTCATTTTCATCTGCTGCCACTGCTGCTTCTGCAGCCGGAGAGGAAAATGCAGGAAGAAAGGGAGTACCAGCAGCAATGGCCAGCTGCACGCTGAGAGGAACAAGAAGAAAAAGAAGAAGAAGAAGAAGAATGAAGAGGACCTGTGGATCTCAGCTCAGCCCAAGCTGCTCTTGCTGGACAAGAGGCCGTCCTTGCCCATCTAGCAAACAGGAGGGTGTTCAGGCCCTCCCCTCTGAGATGCCACCAGTCCTTTCAGCCGTGCACTATGAGGGGCGAGGAGATGCCAAAGCTGCTGCCACTTTATGGTGACTTTCAAAAGAGGCTGAGCCCAGTGGCTAACCAGCATGTTGAAGGGCCAGCAGAGAGCAAGGCAGTTGGGCTCAGCTTTATGAAGCCCCTTCTCCCCCACCATGAGAGTGTGCCCAAGGGCAGAAACCCTTGCCCTGCTGAGCATGCGAAGGTGACCTGCCACTGCGCCATACGTACCTCCTGCCATGAGCACAATGCACGCGCACGGGGCTGGCACGCAGCAAACGGGGTGCAAGGCTCTCCCTCCGCACTCGTGTGCAAGCGTATGCATCGTGGCACAAAGGTGTGCGGGACCACATGCATTCGAAGACCGAGCCGCCCGCACGCTCCCCCTGCGCAGATGTAGATGGCGGCATGCGAAGCAAGCACAGGCATGCTGCATTTGCCTACCCTGCTGCGGAGATGGCACAACTTGACTGTCTACGCTCCATCCAAACCCAGCTCACGTTGGAGATACAAAAAAAAAAAAGCCAAGAGCAGAGCTACCCCACAGCTCAAAGATGTGCCATCTCCCCGGCCACCAAACCAAAGGCAACTGAGAGCATCTGAAAACAGATGCCCTCAGCCCAACCTTAGAGACCTCAAGACACGATCTTAAGGCAGCAAAGCAGGAGGACGTGTTGCCACCCAGGCTGGAGGCAGGGAGGAGAAAGGAGGCTGCAATTGTGACCCTTTTGCACCAGCACTTACAAAAAGATCTTCCTTGAAAGTCTGTTTTATACAGATTTGCCTTTAGAGAGCCCACCACGCTACTGCAAGAGCAGAAATGCAAGCCGAGGCTATGTAAAGGCTTAGCTACGGGCATTAGAGTTATTTATTGAATGACTACTAACGAGCAGGACCAAAGGCCCCTCCGTCACGGGGCTAGGCACACCGAAGCGGTATTGAAGCAGCGGGCACGCTTTCCCAGCACACTCGTCCGTCCCCTCTCCCTGCAGCCCTTGTGCACGCACAGACCCACAAGCACACACTGCTGCCAGCTGATGCCACGTAGGCAGCTCTGTATGCCATGCAGAGGGCTTCCGTACCGCTGTCAGGCCAGCCAGCTCTGGGATTTGGGATGTGCTGAAGGAGCAGAGAGGAGTACAGTTCATGCCCACAGTCATCCCTTACCCTGGGATGCACCATACAGCCAGACCCCGCTTCCCTCTCCATCCTCATCTCCCCCTCGGATGTGCGGTGGCTCGGCCAGGCACAGCAGCTAACAAGACCACACGCAGCTCTCACCCCTGCTCTGGTTTTGACCCTCTGCTCCCCCCCCAATGCCTGCGTTCCCAGCCTACCTCCCGAGGAGCTGGGGGTCTCCTCTTCCCCCTGCTCTCCACCCTGCCAGGCTTTGTCTCCCCCCAGCCTGTTTTGCCAGCAAGGGGGACACGCACGCACGTGTGATCAGAAGCCCCATCGCATCTGGTTTTTGCCCTGTGTCTGTACACTGGATGTTGTCTTCCCATTTTCTTCTGGTTCTTCAGCTGCTGGAGCAGACCGGAGCTGCCAGCCAGAGCCAGACATCTGAGGGACGAGCAGCCAAACCCACGTGGGCAAGCCTGGACGGAGCTGCCGGACACAACTGCTTCCAGCCTGGGCAAGGGCGATGCCGCCTTCCCCCAGCTCCCAGGGCACACACCGGCGGGGGGGGACAAAGCCACCACTTAGAAGTGGTTGTTTGTGCCACCCGGTCCCAGCACAGCCTGTTTTGTCCAACTCAGACAGGGCAGCGATATTAACATCGCGTCAGGGGGTTTGGCAGCGTGCAGCTGTGCTGGGAGACCAGGCTCCTCCTCACACAGCCCTTTAAATTGACCCCATATGTGCCTTATTTTCCAGCTTGCTTTGTTAGCATTGAAACAAGTCACTCCTCCTCCAAAACAGGAAAGCAACATATAATGCTATTAAAAAAATCAGGATTTGCCACACCTGATCCTAGAGAGAAACATGCAGGAATAGCTCTGATCTCTGTCCCAAACCCTCAGTCCCTCCAGAACCCCAGAGAACCGGCACCGCACATGTATTATTCCCTCTTCCTTCCCCCCATCCAGATACTTTTCCCAGCCCTCCTGCCTCTGCGCTCACCAGGTGGACAAAGCAGCCTCCTCCCACGAGCAGGAAAGCTGCCCACGCACCTGCAAGCCCCAGAGGAAGGGTGGTGCTGCCTGGAGGGATTGGGAAAAAAAAAAATCAGAGCAAAGGGAAACACTATGGGAGGCCAGAGGCTTACCTGAACAAGCAGGGGCACAGAGGCAGCCAGCACCAACAGAGTACAGCCTACCTGGTGTGGAGCAGCCGGGCTTTGCATGGCTCCCTGCAAGGAGGTCCTTCTCCAGAAGGGTTAGCGAGTAACGTTTCAGGCAAGGGCAACAGATTCCTACAAGAACCAGAGAACTGTCAAGAAAACGTCTGTGTTGTGTCACAGGTCACATCTCCGATCCAGGCTTTGGGGAATTCAGAGCCGGGTCTGAATTTCAAGAACCCACCAAAATCATGGTGCAAATCCACCCCTGAGCTGGACAAGGAGGCATGGGGATCCAGCCCTGCCCTGATCCAGCCAGCCAGTGGATGGTCCGAGGCTCTGCACCCCACAAAGCATGGGGGCTGACATGCTTGAGGGCTGCTGGTTTAGCCAAGCACGCACTGAATCAGTTGCTTCTTGAAACAAAAGCCAAAGAGCAGCGACAGCCTGAGGTGTGCCAGGACCCGTCACCCATCAGCCAGGCAGCCGTGACCCCCGCAGCACCCACACCAACAAGGCAGCAGGAGAAGCACGGTACAGAAACGCTGCTGTGTGGGTCCCTGCTCTGCAGCCACCCCGGCACTGCCTCCCCCCAGCTGCGTTTCAGTCTCAACCTTTTATTTTCCAAAACAATCCATGCAACAGGAGGGGGGGGGGGGAACCCACACAAGTTTTTGGTAATATTTTTTTTTTTAAACCAAAAATAAATGACTCTCAAACTCCAAACAAATGCTGTGTCTCTAACTCTCAGTCACGTGTTTATTTTCCTGGGGAAATCTTTCTTGTATCTGTGTCCTGGCCCTAGATAAGACACAGGGAGAGCTCAGCGGGCAGAGGCTGTGCAGTCTCTGCCTGCAGCCAGCTGTGCAGCTCCATGTTTTCTTAAAGTAACAGCTTAGTTTAATCAAGTTTAATGGCCTCGCCTTGTTAATGAGCACAGTCAAGCTCCTCTCCTCAAGGCCAAAAAGTAGTGGGAAGCAGAAAAGCAGTGTTTCTGCACTGGGGGGGGGGGGAGGGGGGGGGCAGGTTGTGGAAGGGTTTTTTCTCTTGCAGAGAGAAGTGGGGTTCCTGGCTCCTAGGTTAGAGACAGGCAGGGGTTGAGGTGAAGCTGAGCATCCCCTGAGCAGTCCAGGGATTGAGGAGATGCAAGGATTGTCCCCGCAGGCCCACGAAGCCTCACTAGGAGGGGAGAGTGGGATCTTCACTGACTGTTCCTCTGTTTATTCAGCCAACAAAGCCGAGAGCAGCGACCAGAAGAAACACTGCTGCTTTCCAAGCAAGTGCCTCGTGCACTAAGACCTTTCTGTTTTCTCTGCAAATTAGACGATTTGGAGTGCCATATCTTTGGGCATGCCTTCTGCCTCCTCCCAGGTCAGTGCTGGGATGGTGGGGAGGTGGGTGAAGAATCCACCAGCTCTCCCCCCGCAGCAGCATTTCACAGAGTCCAGCCCGTCGGGTGCCCAACTGAGCCCCGGGTGGGTCCTGGCTCCTGGGACGCAGCAACGGGACAATGCCCATCACCACAGCGATGCCAAGGCAGAGAGAATCCTTCTGGGATTCAAATTCTGTCCCTGGGCATGCTGCAAACCTCACCGGCTATAAAACTGAAGTGATTTTGCGGCAAGGCAGAGGTTTTGAGACTCTGTTTTGACCCTACAGCGTCACCATCACAGGGCTGAGTATTGCAGCAAAACAAGCAAAATAAGAGGATGTGACATTTTTATGGGACTACCCCAACCAGCCTGAGCCTTGAAACCAGAACAGCCAGTTCCTGAAGGCAAACAAACTGCATCATCTGAGCAGTCCCAGCTTCTGCAGCTGAGGCATGGACTCTGCTTAACCCAAAAAAAAGGTCTTTCCACAGAGGCCAGCTGGATAGAGGGAAGTTTCTCCTGCATTAGCATGAAGAGACGATGCCATCCTGTGGCTGTTCCGAAATACTGACTTCCCACAGTGGTTTTCCAGCCGCCGCCACTTTGACTGCCCTTCCTGGTGAAATAGGGGCCCATAATTAGGAGAGACAAGTAAACCCTCCTCAGAAACTGCAAATAAGGTGTCTCATTTGCCTTTATCTCTGAATGACAAAGCTCATGCCACTCAAGAGAATGTTCCCTGCTCTCAGGTGAGACTCAGCTTTCGAAAGGCATCGATCATGCTTTGCTTCAAGGTTTGCACAGCAAAGAGCTGCTGGGCACGATCACGCCTGCTGCTTTTTAGAGCGTACCCTTACCTTTAGGAGTGGCCATGTGTGATATTGGTCCTCCCGCCCGGTCACCTCCCTGACATCTACACCGTGCCATCTCACCGAACAACAGCGAAACCTGTCCTCACCTACAGACAAGCGGGCAACGGGGAGAAATCACTTCACCACAGTAAAGAACCCTCATCGTTTTCCCATGTCCTTCCCTTGTGCCACTAGCACAGAGCCTGCAAAACACTTCAAGTGCAATTTCCCTTCCCTCTCCTCCCTCCATTAGTCTCTTCCTTCCCCCCATACCGGGGTTTGGATATCCTAACGCAGCTCAGTTGAGTCTCTGCCTGCCCACCCACGCAAGAGGCACAGCGCTGAAAGGACTATGAAGAATTTAGTACTCACCTTTGAGAGACGGTTCTCTAGCTAACTCTCCTCTGCCAGGTCCGAGCAGCCACAGATCAGTTAATTGCTTT